AGATGAATGCAGACCTCATAGTGGCACACATCACTCCACGATACAGAGGAGCCTGAGGGAGTGGATGAGCAGCAGCAATATTGTCCATGGCTACATGGTCACAGATGCCGGTGCCAACAGGCTGGCAGTGGTGAAGGCTGCACACCTCAAGGGCATCATCTGTCTGGCATACATGCTTTACCTTATAGTAAAGGATGCTCTGGGGCTGGGGAACACTGTGAGGGCTATCTGGAATGCTGCCACCCTTCAGCTGCGGTCCCTGCTTGAGACCTGCCAGGGCTTGGCTGCTCACTTCTTGTGCAGCATCAAGTCTGCCCATCTCCTGTGTGAGAGGCGGGGGGGGGGGATGAGCCTGAACATCTGCTCATCCAGGACCTACCCACCCCCTGGAACTCCACCTACACCATGATAACACATTTGGTGGAGCAGAAGAGCGTGGTGCAGAATGTCATCTCTTCCATGACCATCCTGCACAGGGAAGAGGAGCTCAGCATCAGCTCAAACAACTGGCTGACCCTCTCCCAAATGATGTATGTCTTCAAGCCCTTCCAGGACATCACTGACATGCTCTGCACCAATACAGCCAGCCTGGGTGAAGTCATCCCCCTGATTTGAGGGCTGGACTGTGTGTTGGCCTTCACACTGCAGTCAGGTCCCAAGGAGATGGTTGTCTTCCCACAGGTCTGGGCCTTGGCAAGGAGGTTGCAGGTGGGCATCACCACCAGGCTGCATCCTCTCTGCAAAGAATGGGAGTACAAGCTGGCCTGTATCTCTGACCCACAAATTAAGGGCAGCATTGCTCTCTAGAATGCAGAGCTCATGACATGGAAATACAGAGGCTTCAGGCCAGGAGACAGCAGGTGGAGGAATCTGGGGGAAAGGAGGAGGATGAGATGTAGACCAGTACCTCTGTCTCCAAGAGCCCAACCAGGCAGAAGCCCCACTAGTGGTTGTCGGTAGTGAAGTGGGAGGTCAGCAGCAGTGGCAGGGAGGCCAGGTGCACCATGGAAGAGGATTCAACAGAGGTGATGGTGAGGGAGTACCTCATTGAGTCCCATGAATCCATCTCCACCAGTCCCTTCAAATACTGGTCACACAAGGCCGTCATCTGGGCCAACCTTTCTTGTGTGTCCTGAATCTCCTCTCCTGCCCTCCCACCAGCATCTGGAGTGAGCAAGTGTTCTTCCACCTGGGAGACCTTCTCAGCCCCCACCACTCCCACCTGAACCCGACCAGGGTGGATGAATTGTCTTTTCTGAAGGTCAAACTTCCTCTGCTGGGCCACCCTGCTCTGGACCTAGTGAAGTAACATCCAGACCTACTGATGTCCCCCCCCCCCATTCCTCCTCCTCTCTGGGTAATCTGACATGCAGCCTGTGGATCTTGGCACTTAGGTGGGAGAATGGCTGCCTCTGCCGGGTGGAGGTAGGCTGACCCCACACCCAACCCAAGTAACATCTACCTTTTGAGAAAACACTTACCTCATGAACCACCTACCTCATGACTCATGAGTCAACATCTACCTCAGCAAACATCCACGTGAACAAACATCTGACTGTACAAGCAAGCCCCTGTTTGACTCCCCCTTTCCATTGCATTTATACAACTCACAACAGGCAATCTCTTATCCATACAATATGTTCCACTAATGGTGAAGAACCAGAAATTTCATCTGGTGGACTATGATCAGAGGATCTATGTGTTGGGGCCTGAGAGTACCTGGGAGCTTTGTGGGCATGCTTCCGTTCCTTGTGGTGTCTGGCTGGGGTGCCCACAAAGCAGCTGTGGGGTTATTTCTGGGAGTCCCTGTTGAATGTCTGGAGATGGTTTGTCTGCCTTTCCATCTGTCCTTCATAATCTGTTTTTTTAGACTTGAGGAGTGGCCCTGCCAGCTACACATATGTTTCCATTTATTCTTGTATAAGAATTCACTCCGATAACTGGGTGCACTCTGAACCCAGTTGCAGAGTAGAATAATACAGCCCTGTTGGTGGGTGTGCTGTGTAGCACCTGTGTGTGTAAGCCTTAGGTAGTGGGTTATTCAGCTTAGTAACCTTATACCTACTCAGCTGCTGTGGGGGTACTTTGAGGAGCCCCTTTCAAAACTCTGGGAGTGTCTGCCTTTCCGTCTGTCCTTTGAACACTGGCTGTGTGATTCAGCCCTGGGGGCTGGGGGCTGTGAGTACTGTGGACACGGTTTGGGTATCAGGGCTGGACTCAGGGTTTCATGTCACCACATCTACATGTCATTACAGGCTTTGGGGGTTGGCTGTCAGGGATGGACTCAGGGCTTTGAACCACTATGTCTATATAGTTCTCATGGCTTTGAGCCACCATGTCTACATATGGTGCTGCACGCTGGTTTGTATTTGGGTCTCTGGTGGACTCAGGGCTGTGACAACAGCTGTGCCTCCCACTTTCTCCAAATGTGGAGCCCCATTTCCAGGCCACCGTTTGGAAACATTTCCACACTCTGTCTTTCGGAATCCACTTTTGGAGACTTGGGGGGGGGGGTTCCCATTCGTTGCAGAAAGAAGAATATACCCAGGGTGATGATGTGATATGCTCTGGACCTGTGTGTTTTAGCCTGGGGGGGGGGCACAATGTGGGCACACTTCCCTTCCTTGTGTTGTCTGGCTGGGTGTTCTGCCAAGCTACCATGGGGTTATTTTAGGGAGCCCGTGTCAAAACTCTGGGGATGCCTGGGATGCCTTCCTGTCCTTCTGTCTTTTTAGACATGAGGGGTGGTCCTGCCAGCTTCACATGTGTTTCCATTTATCCTTGGAGTAGAAGAATTCACCATGATGGATGGGTGCACTCCACACCCAGTTGCAGAGTAGAATAATACACTCTGTTGGTGGGTGTGCTCTACAGCACCTGTGTGTATAAGTCTTAGCTAGTGGGTTCCTCGGTTGAGTACCCTTATACCCTCTCACCTGCTGTGGGGGTTCTTTGAGGAGCCCCCATCAAAACTCTGGGGGTGTCTGCCTTTCCATCTTTCCTCAAAATACTGGCTGTGTGTTTCAGTCCTGGTGGGGTGTGTGAGCATTTTGGGCGTGCTTTGGGTTTTGGGTGTCAGGGTTGGACTCAGGGCTTTGAGCCACCATGTCTACATACATTGTTGCACCATATGGGGTTTGGGTGTCAAGCTACCATGTCTACATACATCTCAGGGCTTTGACCCACCACATCTACATATGTCTCAGGGCTTCGAGCCAGCACGTCTACATACATCTCAGGGCTTCAAGCCACCACATCTACATATGTCATTGCACACTTTGGTCTTTGGCTATCAGAGTTGGACTTGGGGCTTCAAGTCACCACATCACCACATCTACATATATCTGGGGGGGCTTTGAGCCACCATGTCTACATGCATAATTGCACGCTTTTGAGTTTAGCTTTTGGATGGTCTCTGCAGGGCTTCGAACCACAACATCTGCATACATTGTTGCACACTGATTTGGGGTTGGGTTTCAGGTGTTTAAGTCCAAGTAATGGTTTGGTATGATGTTGAAACCAAAACTTTAAGGTATAACTTGCAGTCTCTTTATAAAACAAACCATCACAATCTTATTTTGCCAGCATTCAGCACATCAGAATTTTAAATGGATTGCTAAATACTTAGCATGCTAAATGCTAGCATGCTAGACTCCCAAATATGCCTTTTCCTTAATTAGATATGTAAATATATGGTAAATATAATCTGCTCAGATGGGAAACGTTCCCTTTTCTTGAATGTTAGAGAAAGATGATGCATTAGTGTGCCATTAGGGAACTACATAGGCAGGACTAACATGATTACTCCCAATTTACACACTTACAGAATCACATCCACTGCCAAAAATAGCATCAAAGTCATTTTTATTCCTGGTTCCTGAGAGGTGAATTGCAACTCTGCTTTTACTCTTAATTTCACATTGTCCACAATGTTTTCTGCTCCTTAAACCTTCTGTCCTTAAACCTTGTGGTGCTACTATTGGCTGTGTTTGCAAAATCATGGCTGCAGATAAGTTTTGCAGTAGAACAAATAATAGTTCCATGTAGGGTTGCCATTTGCCTGCGGACATTGCCAGTGAGCCATCCAGCTGCTAGCAGGAGAGAAAAATTAAATGCCATCAGAGAAAGTGTGACATCACTTCCAGGAAAAACCTGGAAGTGATGTCACGCTTCTCTAGAAATTGCCAAAAACTTTGTTTTGACCATACCATTTTTTTGGAATTCCTGGAGAGATGTGGTGACACTTTTGGATTTCCCTGAAAGCGATGTCACGCTGTCACTGACAGCCACCCCCATTTATCTGCTTCCCCAGCCTCCTCCTGGTTGCCATGCCAAGCCTAGCAACTATGGCGTGTTTTGAGGAGAAGAAAACAGCATGGAAGGGAAAGCTGCAGCCCCTTCTGTTCATACACCCTGGTCACAAGGAGAAAAGGGCACGCATGAGTGTGGGAAGCACAAAACTCCCATTGTAAGATATAATTGCTAAACATAAATCTCATTCAAATTATTCTTCTGTACCTGCTTATAGACTTAGGATAGTAAATAATAATGCACAGTTTCCCCTCTTGCGTAAGTCTTAGTAATGGGCAATTTTGGCTCAATAACTGAGAGAGAGTGACTGGCCCAAGGCCACCCAGTTTGTTTCATGGAGAGCAGGAGTTTGAGCCTGACTTTCCCCAGTCCTAGTTCAACACTCTGCCACACTAGCTCCCTTAAAAAAGCAATAGGGTTGCTGACCACCTGGGTGAAAAAAATGTCCTGTATTTTTAACAGAGGCTTATTTACCTCCATGCCATTAGCAGCTTCAACTGTTTCCACACATTAAGCCCATTTCCACACATTAAGCCTCTGTTAAAGGGGCAGGACATTTTTTTCCTCTCCAGGCTGTTGGCAACCACGGAAAGCAACCTTGAAATGGCTATCTAAAGGGTCAGTTACTATTATTATTCAGACATAATTTTAGAGTGATGAGAAAGCACAATGACAAATCAAATACTCACAATGGTCTTGTTGGTGGACATTTCGCATTCGTATGACTCTTACAGTGAGTATATAGCAAGGCGATGCCACCCTCTGGAAAACAAGGCATTTTTAGATAGGTGAATCTTTAAAGTACTGAATTTATACTTGAAATCCAATGTACTATATTACAAACTAGCCTGCTACCCGTGCTTCGCTATGGTATTTAAGTTCTGTAAATCCAGTTATAATACTGATGATGTGAAATTTGAAATATGACATTTGTTGTAGGAATTTTAACAGAGAAGATTGTAGTGTAAGAAATGAAGTGAGACATATGTACTTTTTTCTCTCTCTCCTGAAGGACCACTCTCTAGACCACATTGGTGGTTCTGCCCTCAGGTGCCAGGATCACCAGGCTGCTTGATCAGCTCACTCTGGAGCAGGCCACAGAACTGTCCATTTAAGAAGCAGTCGTCTGTTAAGTCAGCTCCTGCTACCTTCCACGAAAGTGATGGCCTGTCTACTTGTGTTCCTGGATTGTTTTGCTCATATGGAGACTGTGTTGTTCTCAGCACCTCAGGGTGACCTTGCTGGTACTTGGCCTGTGCAGCTCAGTGCAATGCAGGAATACTATGTGCAAATGTCTTTGCTGCATTCCTAAGTTGCCTCCTCGTAGCATTGGTGTATCTGGCTCAACGTTTGCCAGGAGCTTTCTTAGGGGCAGTAAGAGGTGTGAGGGGGAGTTGATGTGAGGGAGTGGTGATGTGGTGGACATTTCTTCAGGTTCCTGAGGGAGGCACACATCAAAACGGCTCCTAGAAATGTCCTTTACTATCTCCCTATAAACATTCATACACTGGCCCTTGGCGGCTGTAAGCATCCCAGCTCCAGTGTAGGAGGGGGAGCGGGGAAGAGTATTAGAAGCCACTGTGGAGGCAGTGCTGGCAGGATCACTAAGGCATTACTGCTGGGGCAGGCTCCCTGTCCTGTGTAGGAAGGAGAAGGGGGAGGAGTATTAGAAGCTACTGTGGAGGTGGGGCTGCACCAGACAGACAACTGCCTGTTTGGTGTAGGAGGTGGGGGGAGTGTGTTAGAAGCCATCCCACCTTCTCTCCTACACCTGACAGGCAGTCAATGGGGGGAGCACATTTTCCCCCTTTTGACCCACTTAGGGGTTGCATTTCTAAAAATCCCTTCTTAGTGAGCACCTACACCATGGTGGGAGCTCTCTCCCTGAATTTGGTGTCTCTAGGTCCAACGGTTTGGCCTGGGCGTTGATTTTACGGTGAGGGGACTTTCTTATATATATATGGAGAATGTCCAAACATAAAATAAATAATACTAGAAGACTCTTAGCTCAAATACACCCCACAAGGTGGCTGATTCTTTGTAATTTATCTGGGCAAACATGATCACCCTTCAAGATCCACATAATTTCCAACAAGTGAACAACACTCTTAAACTTCACTGGATTGCAGTTGCCTCTTGCTTCTCAAATGTTACAATATGGCACCAACATGTTATTCACAAGACTCATGCTTAGCTTTTTTTCCCTCTGTGAATTTTGAACAACATGGGAGGGCACAGCTGGCCTGGCAGCAGCCATAGTAACACTCTGGCCATTACATTACTCCTGTCTGGGGAACAGAGTTTTCACACCCACAGAAAGCCACTGTTTAAGGTTTCACTCTTAGACTGAAGATCCAATTTGTAGTTTTTGTCAGTATTTTCTGTAACTGTCAATTCAGCATGATCATATTTTTGAAATAACTTCCAGAATCTCAATTATTCTCTTGGTGTAATCTTACCCAAATAGAGGCATTATTTAAATACCTAATTTACAATCATGTTAATAGCTGCCAGATAGGGGAGGGTACGCAGACTGGAATTCTTATTTGTCCTGCATGGCTAGAGAGCTGATGTGAGCTAGTGCAGTGGTTAGAGGGTTCTGTTTGAGAGCCAGTGTGGTATAGTGGTTAGAGTGTCATACTAGGATCTGGGAGATACATGTTTGAATCCCCACTCTGCCATGGAAGCTTGCTGGGTCACCTTGGGCCAGTCACACATTCTCAGCCTAGCCTACCTCATAGGGTTGCTGTGGGGATACAGTGGATGAGAGGAGAAGTATGTAAGCTGCTTTGGGTCTCCACTGGGGAGAAAGGCAGGGTATAAATGAAGTAAATAAATTCATTAATGTTACAGTGAGAGCAATATATTCGACACGTATGTGCATACATCTGCTTGTAATAATCAGCAAACGTGAGTTCACTTTGCAATTGAAATGAAGGACCAACTTGGGACGTTTAATTTTGGCTGGAAAACTAACAACTCAGCATCTGGGGCAATTATTAATATGGGCACTAGAACATATGGCAGCATTCACTTCTGTATTCATCCAGAAGTCTGGGAGTTGCTTTTTAAAACCTGTTTGTGTGACGTTTTTACTTCTGAGATACTTGAACCTGATGGCCCTCTTCCTGACTGGCCTGAGGCAACCCCTTCTCAAGTTGAAGGCTTGATCCAGTGCCCCCACTCAGAGAAGGCCCTTGGAGCAGACCTTAGCCCAAATGAATTACTCAAATTAAATCCATCTTGATGGGCAAAGATCTCTGCTCTGCTGTGTTCGCAAACAAACATGTCTGGGGGCATCCCAAAATTTTGGAGGAACATAACAATAGTTCTGATCTTTAAGAAGGGCCAACACTCGGACCAAAGCTGCTATCATCCAGTTTATTATCTTGCTTGGGAAAATTATACTCTTCATATTTGCTAGATGGCTTAACTGATTGGTTTGAACAAGGTGATATTCTGGGCCAGGAGCAGATGGATTTCAGGAGGGGTAGTTCATCCTTGGATCATTATCTAGAAAAATGCACCCATTTCCCAAATGGCACCCTTTATGTAGGAGTCATTGATCTGAAAGGGGCTTTTGATACCATCCCTAGAACAAGACTTTGGGAAAAGCTGCGACACACCACAATTGATCAAGGGCTGCTACAGTTCATGTGGATCTTGCAGCTCAGGTCTGCTGTAGCAATGGTGGCAAGCTGACTGAGCCATTTAACGGCAGTAAAGGAGTTAGGGAGGGCTGCCTTTTGGACCAATTTTTTTTTGCAGCCTATATATGGCTGCAGTCAGAGGACAGGTTTGGCATGCTCTCAATGCACCTATATTTTATCCAGTGTTATTTGTTCCAGAGAGGTTTGTCCAAACATGGCACCCTTAACCCATCTCACCACAAGCTCACTCTGGTTGACAGTTCAGATTATTGCTGCGCGGTAACCATAGAGTGGGTGATCAGGTAGCATCCCTTTTAAAAATTGTCTTTCACGCATGTGCAGAAGCATTCATTCAAAGCACTACTCCATTTTGACAGCTCCACAATCCCTCTGCCAAGTATTGCAGCCCCTCTCAGCCTCCTAGCTTTGCCTCTCTTCCTTGGAATACATGGGGGGGAATGTAAGCATCATGCAGATTTACATGAGAGTAGCTCCATTGACTCTTGTGTCATTCATGGTATGCGCTCAAACAGCAACTCTGAAGCAGAAAACCCTTTTTCTGCTAACACAGTTTGCATGGGAGAAAGTGGGATGGGGTGTAGAGTGGCCAACTCCAAGCAGGGAAACTCCTGGAGATTTGGGGATGGAGCCTGGGGAGGACAGGAATCCACCTTCCAAAGCATTCATTTTCTCCAAGGAAACTGATTTCTGTAGTCTGGTTAACATCCAACCCCCCCCCCACTTTAGTCAGGATCCATGCCCAGAAGGCCCTGCACACATTTTTTGGGCAGATATTCAGCCTAAGTTTACTCAGAAGCAAGGCTACCTGGATTTTTACATTTTTCCAGCTTTACCCAAGTCTCCCTGCCAGCCTCCCCTGGCTCCCTACTGATATGGTAGCCTAACTGAGGACTATTTCCACAGCTTTCCAACTCCAAGAAACAGGAGAGAGGGGTTTTGGAGGGGATATGTCACTCAAAGACACCTCTCCCGGGGGCTTTCAATCCTAACAGAATGTGGTGCAGAAATGCACAAGTGCTAATTCAAAACACTGGGGCAAAGATCCACTTATGCACGAATCACTAATTGAATTTTAAAAATGGCACACAGATGGAAACGTGTGCTCTGACGTCCCAAACTGCTTGATTTCTCAAGAGAGAGTTCAGACATCAGGAAATGTGTGGTGAGACCAGGGGTCATTTCGTAGAAAAAGAGCTAGGGGGACTCATTAGCATAACTCATTAGCATATGCCACACACCCTGACATCACCAGAAGTGTGTCATAAGGCCACACCCCCTGACATCACCGGAAACATGTCATAAGGCCACACACCCCGCCCCCAACGGTCCCGGACGCCACCGCCAGCCTTGCAGCTCCACTGCCGAGCCCCATGAGGGGCCGGGCGGTGGACCTGCAAGGCTGGCGGGAGTGCAAGGAAGCCCCGCAAAGGCCCTCCCTGGCCCCAGGCAGGCAAGGGTGGGGAGAGGCAGGGAGGAAGCAACTTACCCTCCCTCTTCTCCTGCCTCCTCCTGGCTGAATGAGGGCAGGAAGCGGGGCAGCCGGAAGCAGGGGGCGGGGCTTTGTCATGTGCCCCGTCCCCCGTACCTCACCCGGGGGAACTGTGTTCCCCCGCGTTTCCCCCCAAAATGACCTCTGGGTGAGACCAATTCAGTCCATAAAGATTGGGACTTTCTCCAGTGTTGGGAAAGTTGGTGGTTAGAACAGGGCAACAACGACTGGGGAACAGGATACAGATGACACTGTCTGAATGAGCATTTTTAATCTGGAGGAGAGGATGAATGACATTGGATCAAATTTATTGTAGCTTTAAAATGATCCCTTGACTTCCTTTAATGAGCTTTGTCATCCACCCCATTTGGCCAACTGCAACATTCCAGTTCTGCTTTACATTGATGACACTTCTCTGCTTTCTTGGACAAGAGTTGGTTTGCAGAGATCATTAAAAATTTTCTTAGGATTTTTCCGGTTTTGGCGATTCCAGGCTAGGATGCATCTCTTCAGGCCCCGATGGAGACATGCTGAGGCCCGGCAGACAGGAGGGGTCC